GCTTTTATATATATATAGATAATGGTGCCCGATCAGAGACTGAGAAACTGACAAAATACTTTCCTTGAGGCGAAATTCTTTTGATACCAATGCGACCCTGATTGACTGCAGCTTTCGGAGAAATTCCTAAAGTTCCCAAAACCAAAACTGCTACGCAAAAAACCTCAAAACATACTCCTTAGTGCGCCCTTTGTGCCATTAGTTTCACCTCATTAGTACTCCTACTAGTGGTTCTTTCCCAGCAAGGCCGCCGTATGTGTCCCAACGGCGCCAAGCAAATCTCTAATCCCTCGCCGATCTCAAGATCTCAAGGCCTTGGCAGGGCGAAAAACGCCATCTGTCATCACAGACGAAAGTGAGAAAGTAGTGAAAGAGCACTTCCTTTCTAATTTCATCGCAACTCGTCCCTAAGGCCGCTAATAAAAACTAAGATAGCGGCACTGACTGAACATCAGTGCCGATGAAGCTTGCTTTCCGGACGAGTCATCACTATACAGTCGTAAACTCTCGCAGGGCTTATGTCTCAACTGCCATAAATGGCCATAGAGCACAGCGCTATCTCTTAGCTCAGAGAACATAAAACCTGCCCTTCAAATGTATGTTCATCCCGCTCTCTCTGCCTTTTAGCCCTCTCGGCTTCATTATGCACAATCGAAGCCGAGTGAAGTGCACATAAAATGTACGTACACAAGCCCCGCGCATACAACCCTTTGCCCCGTCATAGGTGAAATATTCATTATCCAGACGCGTTGCACAAGCGGCTGATTTGCAAATTGTGCCCTTTGGGGTGTGAATTGCCCGCTCAGGTCTAATTGTTCAAGCGCCGACGAAACTAGAACTAGAGCTAGAACTGACCTCTTCCGCAGCGTCGGCATCGTCTTCGGGTTGTGACATTGCGTCATCGGCACGACATCGTCGAGGTCTTCGTTCTCATAACAGACTCGAGCCGAGTACCGACCATAGTTGGCTAGGGCTATTGAGATCACCGTACCACGAGGGCACGAAAGCTCGGCTGTGCCTCCTTCGCAGACTACGATGGAACCTAGAAAAAGGGGAATTAGATCTTGAAAAAAGACTGTAAACAAGAGCAAAAAAACATTGAGTTCTGGAAAGAAAAGAAGGGAACTAGTTTGTGTAAGTATTTGGAAAAAAAAATTACTTTTTTCCTTTTGAAATTTCCACGCCACATCCTACTCCTTAATCGCCTAATCAGGCGCTTGTTAGCCGATGTTAAGAAGATTTTATATTTTTTCACTCTTTCTGGAAATCCATGCGAATGCTACTTGATATATTCCGATCGCGCGCTTGTTAGCTTATGCTGGAAAGAAGTCTTCACAGGAAAAACTATTTGATTTTTACGACTTCTGAAATTCATATGCGATATCGCAACCAGATCATCGCCCGATTGAGAGCTTGTCAGCCCATTGATGAAACCTTTCAAGAAGAAATATTTTTCCCATTTTACACCTTTTT